ATGGACATGTCATTGTGATAGAGTACCAGGGATACAACAAGGTGGATGGACTTGTCAATGTGATTGAGTACCAGGGGTACAACAAGGTGAATGGACATGTCAATGTGATAGAGTACCAGGGATACAACAAGGCGGATGGACATGTAATTGTGATAGAGTACCAGGGATACAACAAGGTGGATGGACATGTCAATGTGATAGAGTACCAGGGATACAACAAGGTGGATGGACATGTCAACGTGATAGAGTACCAAGGATCATCATATCTTTATTTCCTCCAAAATAATGAAGAGTACAATGTGGATGAGTGCAAGTGACATGGTACAAAAAATGGTGCAGACACAAATTGAGATATAATTGATATTAATATCATTTCATAATCACATCTTGAAAGAAAGTAAAGACACGTTATAAGTCAATGAAAGTGGTTAAAGGAAGACTCATTGCTACAAAATTAGCTAGATTTATTGGAAGGTCATATAGAACGCCTTTTCCGCAAATATTAAGCAATCTTTGATAAAAGTCGTGTGCGATTTAACATCGTCCATTAAGTGCATCACAAATAACATCGCTTGGACGGACCGGTCCGTGTGATAGAGAGTCAGGGATACAGCAAGGCGGTTGGATGGGTCCGTGTGATAGAGTGTCAGGGATACAGCAAGGCGGATGGACGGGTCCGTGTGATAAAGTGTCAAGGATACAGCAAGGCGGATGGATGGGTCCATGTGACAGAGTGCCAGAGATGCAACAAGGGAGACCGAGGAGTCCATGTGATCGATTGTCAGGGATACAACAATGGGGATGGACGGGTCCATATGATAGAGTGCCAGGGATACAACAAGGCGGACGGACGGATCCGTGTGATAGAGTGTCAGTGATACAACACGGGAGACCGACGAGTCAATGTGGTAGAGTGCCAGGGATACAACAAGGCGGATGGATGGGTCCTGATCCATGTGATAGATAGATGGGTCTGTGTTTTAGGGTACCAGGAATACAACAAGGCGTATTGACGGGTCCATGTGAAAGATTGTCAGGGTTACAACACGGCGTATGGACGGGTCCTTATGGTAAAAGTGCCTGTAACACTTCAGTGACAGCAGTGATCACAGAAAGCTTCTGTATAAAATCAAATATACTCTTATATTTTGTATTTTGTTTTGTGTTGTCAATAACAAAGCATTTAAGGAAGGTTATGTTATTGAAAATAAAATGTATGTACATGTTTTAATTAAAATGCAGCCTATTCCAGGATTAACATCTGGGTCAAGTATATTTTTGAGTTGATTTATATGGGGGTGGGGGT